GCAGGAAGATGAGCCTCACGCCCAGGCCCAACCGCTTCTCCAGGTTTGTGGGGTCGGCCAGTGGCGCGGACGCCCTGGATGCGCTCGCCGCTGTCGCCTCCTCCGCGCCGCACTCGCCCGCCGTGTCAAGGTCTGCGTCGGCGGCCAGGACAGGTTCTAATGTCCCGGCTACCCCTATTTCCTCCGGCTGTGCGTCTGTGCTTTGGCTAAAGAAACTCGCCCAGGAGCGACCGGAGACGGAGGACGAGGACCACTTTTTCGACTGCACATCGAAAGATATGCCCACGACCGACGCCATGATGCGTGTTTTGAAGACCGACGACGTCTGGCTTAACATTGTCAACACCACACGTGCCTTGTCCGATAAACTGGCCGAGAAAACACCGGACCTTGCGGGGCCTGACCGGAAGAGGGAAGCCATGGCTGTGTTTTTCGCAGCTTTCGAAAGCATTCTCCTGAGAGAAGACGCAAGACTCAAAGCGAAAAAAGAGAAGCCTTGGGTCATTGACAACCTGGGGAGGGCCACATCCATCCACAAGAGCCTTTTGCTCTGCTCGTGGGAGATTACGTCAGCCTCATATGGCAGGAGAGATTTGACTGTTTTCAATGCCGCCATTGAAGCGTTTGAGATTCCAGCCTTCGATATTCTCAAGATTATCGAGCCTTTTGCTCGCTTGCCTGATATGCCAAGGCCGCTGGCAAGTCATATCAACCTTTGCGGAGTCAGGGTTCTCGAATGCATGGCCTGGACACCTGGGTCCAAACTAGTGAAAAATCTTCGAGCTAGGTCCCTAGAAGTCGCGTCAAAGAAGAGCACGAAGCAAGCCTCGGAGAATGGCAAAGACACAAATGGGGCAGCAGCTGCAAGCAAAGAAGAGGAGGCCAACAAGCAAGACCCTCCGGTCCCAGAAAACGCAACGCGCGAGTTTGCGCTCGAATTCTTCTTCAAGAAACTGCTCTCTGTGGCTTCTGACAGAGCACAAGAATTGCTCATTCGCCTCGGCATGGATCTCATTGCCGAGCCCGTGTGGGCAGCGATAAAACATGCCGTTTGGGAAAAGTGGCATTTGATGGTGGACAGGCACATTGACCAGATCATCATGTGCTGCATCTATGGCGTTGCAAAAGTGGGAATGTATGAGCTCAAGTTTAGAGACATCATTCAAGCGTACCAGACTATGGCCCATGTCCGCGAGTCGTCGTTTTCTCACTACCTCCCAGGAGTCTTCCGGACCGTCTCCCTCAAGTCTCACCTTGACCTGATGCCGTCTGGGGATACGAGCCCCCCTCGGCCTGCTAGGAATGGGGATGTCAAAGGGGACCGAGGTGATATTATCAAGCTTTACAACCAGGTATTTATCCATGCGATGAAGTCTCACATCTTGGCGTTTCAAGTCCGGAATGGCTCTCCAACCAGCAGGTCAGTCAGAAACTCGGTTGCCTCAGCCGCGTCGCCTGATTTACAGAGAAATCAATCGACGAGTGCCACTTCAATGCGCGGCTCGTGTAGCGAGAGCTCGGCAGCGGGCACTGCGGAGGGCAGTCATTTACGCGACGAAAACAAGGATCCGTTGAACGACAAGGTAATGAGTTCCCCGATGCGCGTGTTGCTCCCGCATGCTTCTCCGCGACGAATTGGTAGGGTCACAGTGTCCCCAATGAGCCCGGGTGGGAGGTCCCTTGTCGCAATTCGTCAGTCTCCCGGAAGGACAGGTGCTGGGTCTATAATAGGAAGTATGACGCCCGGTACTCGAAAGCTGTACGCGTTTGGCGAGAGCCCCGTCCGAAGCCTCGATAGGATCAACAGGTCTCTTGTCCAGGATTCCTCTGGTGGCATGTCAGGACGAAACATCAGCCGCAGAGCTGTCCCTCTCAGCTTTGAAGGCAGCGGGGTCGGACAGAGAACAGCTTCTGTGCGGAGGCGCTTTGCTGATGTGCTTAGTAAGCGGTCATTGCGGCAAACAATGACCTCTGTGCGGTTCGGTTCTGTATCGGAAGGAACACAAAGTGTGGCGAGTGGTTCCGACGCAGTTTTTAGATCCAACGGTTTGGAGGGTCGAGGCACGGTGAAGGATGATGAAAGTGCCAAGGCTGGTGCATGACGATATACTTGTTGCCATAGACTACTGTACGTTATTTAGCTTCTGCATGTTGAGATATCCACAGTATTTATTATATACAAATGCCAGAACGAGACCTTATTGTGGTTGACTTAATGATAATCAAGAGTTGAGTTCAACTTCGTGTCCATGTATCCATTGTGATTGCCTTTCCCGTGAAATGCGTGACCAACTGGATTCCCTCGGATAAACCACCGCCGTTCCATTGCGCTCGGTGCGTTTGATAGCTCATGCGGCTCCCCAAGAATCGACATATATGGCAGTCGCATTAAAACTTCAATCCATAAGGCTTGTCACTCACCAGTGTCGCTCATGAATGGCATATTGGCGGTCCACTTGTTGTTTGTGTTTACAACCTCGAAAACATTAATAACATTTTCGGAAGCTTTCCGCACAATGTCTTCAGGGAAATAAGAGCAGAAGGGGGAGGTGCAGAGGACACTTTCGCAAGCGCCATTAGGACACACGCTGCCCATCATAAAGAAGATGAGAAACATCAACTGAATACTGTACGGTAGAGGCAGCGAGGATATCAAATAGTAAAAATCCTCTGCGATGTGGACCATGATCGTGTGATTTTCTGCGACGTTGGCATTGCCTCAAACAACCCTCGTTTTCCTCGATTCTGCAGGATGCCCATGTTCGTTCGAGGATGGACTTTGGACATCTAGAGGGCCTACCCTGTATACCAAACAAGTCCCGATGAGCATAATTTCAGAGAGAATAAGACTACTTGTCGGGATTCACGGCAAAACTGCATGAAGGGAAGGGTTACATTCTCATAACAGCTCAAAGGTCTGCGCATCATATGTAGTGTGTTAAGTGGATTTATAGTACGAGCAATTCTTGTTGCTAGAACAGGCAACTTTGGTCAGAACCGTTCCTTCTTCACACTGTTTCCAGTCACGGCATAAATAATGGGGACATTTCGCGTTGAAGAAGGATCGATAGAAATATATACTTTTGATATGCTTGCAGGTAGAGATACCATTGGGTAGGCAAACCACGTGCTAGTTTTAAGCCCCTTGTATATTTTCGGCGGTCGAAGCTAATAGAATCAATCTAGCTACAGCAGAATCATCCCGAAAACCATACTGGTTCATTCAGTATTCTCGATGTCAATGAGTCTTGCATGAACTTCGTCCTAATGTTTTCCAGTACCAGAACCAAGCTTCCAGAGTGGATAAGAACTGCAGTTTGATATAGACTATTTGCACGTTGTTGTGGAGCACGCCCCATTTTGTTGGACACAGCGATAGGGCTGGGGCTGACATCCCATTTATTGTCTGCTCCGATAAGCTATACAGAATGAAACCATGAAGCGCTCTCCGAGATCAGTAAGGTGCTCAGGGAATGATTCTAAAAGTCAGGTCCTCAGCCACCGAAGCTACGAGACCGGTTGAAACATGAGAGTTGGTGACATCATTTCCTGTTCCAGCATTTCCCGTTCCAGCATTTCCTGTTCCAGCTCAGAGAAGTTTTGAAAAACGCCACGGAACACATCTTGTTCGGGATGCATTATCTCAATGGAAGAGAGCTAGATACTATTCCAGCCAAAACGGTCGTTCCGGCGATCCAGATGGAGCGGCATCTCTCATTTTGCATGACAGAGCGTTTTCCGAGAATATCGCACAGAGCAAAACTCCGATAGCCTACCAAGGATGAATACCGGGATTAACTTACCCAGACGTGCGTGCGCTTATTCAAGGAATGCCATGGAAAAGCGTCGATAAGACATGTCTTTCTCACCGCAGGCCCTTTCGCAAGCCCGCGACACTACTCTCTTCAGGCCACCTCCTCACGTAAACGATTTACTTCTCGCTGTGCTTAAGAATTTACAGGTGAGCGTTTAGTGTTCGTACCCCATATTACCAAGGACTCGTGTGCTGCCCTTTCTACGCCACATCGACGAAACATCGTTAACGAAATTCCACTGGATTCTGACTTAAGAAGTGCAGTGCATCGCAGGTCACCCCTGGTATTGAATCTCTCTCTGAATACCTCCGACGAAGCATTCCCATATTGCATAAATACCTGATAAAATGATCAAAAATGAGGTCTATCCGAGGAAGTCTCCTTCTGCTGCAAACTCCCGTTCAGGGATGACCATTTGATTTCGTTTCCGTCGAGCTCTCAGTGTGATATAAAAAAGAGCAAACAAGACGCCTACGATAAGTCCAACCACAGCGCCGATGACTCCGGAAGCCACTTTTGTGCCTGTTGCGCATTGGGCTTGAGCATCTTCGGATTCCTCGCTCGTTTCTTGCGTTCTCGAAACCTTGCAAACATTAGCTGAGCTGGCGCAGTCTTCACAAAAAGACTTCTCTCCCAGGTCATCCAACGCTACTAAGCGCTCCATGTCCGCAAATGTGCACCCTTCATCAGCCTCTGTGCACGGTTGTCGTCCAATTGCAAAGGGGGTGAACTCCACGTCAGCGTCTTCGTTCCTTTCGCTGTATCCTTCCCACCATTTGAGTTTCATGACTGGCCCTTTGCTATCATCGCTATCATCGCTGTGCAACTCGAAAATGATTGCGGCTCCAAATCCTGGAATTTTGTCCGCCGGGAATTCGTTTCTGTCTGAGTTCTTCTCACGGAGGGAACCGAGAAGTGTTAGAAGGGTGGGATAGTGAGCTGAGTACTCGACAATACGGTGATTTGGTTTCTTGTCGCCTGACTTCTGCATTCTTCGAGCTTGCCCCATAATTGTTCTGAGAAGGCCGCCGGCAATGTGGATGTTATGAACGCCGAAGTCGTACTTACGAGTCTCGTGCCAGTCAGCTAGATCCCTGAGTCGCGTGAGCTCCTCATCTGACAGTTTGTCGACACCTTGGAGCTCGGGTGAATCTTCCTTCCACTTCTCCTCGCCGTAACCATCATTATGTATAATTAGATAGCGGTCATACACTGCCCAGACGTTGAAGAATGAGGCCTTCGCGTCGTCATCTTTATAGTCATCAAAGTTCTTTGCGATTCGTATGACGAAATCGTCATTGGTCTCTGACTGTCCTTCTGGCTTTTCCTTCTGTTTGTTTTTGAATTCCTCTGAATCTCGAAACTCTGCGAAGCGCTCATCTAAAGCGGGACACAAGGAATATCCGCGGAGTATCCAGTCATTCCGCTCTTCCTCGAAGACAAGGGGGACAAGGGGGACAAGTTTTTCGTCTGGATAGACGGCATCGAGGAAGGCCCGTGAGCTGAGGATAGTGCGGTACAGGTTTGATGTTCGGGCGATAATGTCGCGCCCTGTCGGAGTCTCGGCAATGTCGACAATACTAGAAGCGCTATTGATATATGTCTTGCGAACGTATGTACCGAGCTCTTGGAGCTGGGCAACGCCATCTGGGTAGAGACTGATCGGACGGGTTTCGTCTGAAGTATTTGTTGGGTTCTTGCGGAGAGGAGGACGTGCGCCGTGACGGTGGATGATCTGTACTTGGATGACTTCTGAGGATGTGGGTCTGCAGAAGAGGAGGGCGAGAAGGAGGAGGACGAGTGATATGGACAATGAAGGGAACATAGTGTGGCCAGCAGAGGCGGTTAGACGCATAAAGCAGAGAGCAAGGAGGCGATGAGAGACATGTGTGTGCGTGCAAATCAGCGAATGTTTGAGGAGAGGAGCGGGGTGAGGGACTTTCAAAGGGAGGGCAGGGTTGATTGCGCCCTGAGAGGTCGCCAGGAGATGAAAGAGTGAAGATGTATGCGCCAGTCGTTGCTCATGTGCTTGTGCTCCGTGCATGCGGGGGACAAGTCTTGCAACCGATTCGCTACCGCAATTCAATTGCCCCTCAATGCGCTCAATGAGGGCTGTGACAGCGACAGCTGTGACAGCGACACGGGGCGGCCCGCTTGCATAGGCCAAATGACCTATTCAGCGATCTCATGTTAAGCTTTTGTGGTGGTCCTATTGGAGTGCACTGCAAGACATGTCCTCGTAACGTACCGGTACAACACGTGTCGAACGAAACCCCTTTTCAAGACATTATCAAGACATCATCAAGACATTGTTGATTGTCTGCCCCACCCGCCTGATTCAAGTTAACACTTGCTGCTACAGTGTAGCCTTTGGATAATAGTTAGTGCCTTGCCACTAAACGCCGCGCTGCTGCCTATTACCCTTGGGTAGCGCAAAGCGATTATCAAGTGCATGCAACAACTCCCCCGCCCCCCCTCCGTGTATAAATTTAAACTGTAAGCAGTGGCAGCAAGTAACTAGTAAAAGTGGTATGGGAATGGGGCCAAATTATTACTGTACCCTCCCTCTACCGTGCACATGAAGAGCAGATGCTCAATTTCGCATTTTAGTGCTGTATACAGCTACAACAAAACATTCACACGGACGTTTAGCATATGTATGTGTATGTATGTACAGTATGTGTATGTGTATGTGTATGTATATGTATATGTATGTGTATGTATGTCCCCGCGTATACTAATTTCCGTGTCTGTCTGTCTGTGTGTTTGTGTATGTGTGTTCGTGCGCTCCCGCACGGGTTCTCATTGGCGCACGGGGGCGCTGCGGCGACAAGTGGCGGCCACGCGGACACGTGTAGAAAGCGGCGGGGCCGTGATTTAATTTCATTTTTTACTACAGTGACAAGTGTACTGTGCGGACTGGGGGCGGCCTGGCCTCAGGCCAGGCCGCTACTGG